ACACACACACACACACACACACACACACACACACACACACACACACACACACACACACACACACACGGAGGCGTCATCACACCTCTCCTGCCTCTGTCAGTATTAGTCACACAGAGTCATCGCACAAAGAAAAGAAGCTTGTCTTTCACCATGTGAGGCCTTTCAAAACACCACACTATTCCACTTATCAAAACAATTTTAAAAGGGGTTGAATAGATTTCAGCAATGCCAGGAAGCGCAGGGATTTAACTGAAGTCATTTTGGGCTTGGTTCAGTTCACGCTGAAGTGACCGGGGAGAGTGTGCGACCAATGTGCAGTCAGAACTGGATACACTGTGGCACAACAGGAAATGCCACAGCCATGTTGGTGGCACCTTGTGGCCGACGGAGGACTGCAGAAATGTAAACTCTGTCCACACACAGACATTGCTCCCGCCAGCGTTGATTGCTGGGGTGGAAAGTAACTCAATATATTTACTCAAGTACTTTATTGAAGTACATTCTTCAGGTACTTGTACTTTACCTGAGTAATTCTATTCAATGCTATTTTAAACTCCACTATATTTCAGAGGTGGATGTTGTACTTTTTATTCCAACATATTAGTTTTAAGACAAATCATAAATATAAAATCAAACCAGTGATAAAATATTTAAATACAAGGCAGTGTATAACTAGGTAACCCTGTACCAGCTGCAACATAGTTGTTATACATGCATTACTGCATCATTATAATACTATAATGTTATACAATGTTATTCTGAAACGGAATTCTCTATGATGAGACCTTTCTTTTGTTTTACTCTTGGGTTAGGGTTAGAAAGAGAAACAGGCAACACCTCCCCTTTTGAATTGATATAGGATATTGTTGGCAGACAGTTGCATATTTTCACATTCACCACATGAGGAGCAAGGTTAGCAAGCTGTCGCTGACTGCAACTTCGACATTCACTCTTTCTTGTTGGCTTCGATTTAGGTCTTCACCAACTATGGAGGGAAATATTTTTAGATGCTTATTATGCTGCTGCTTACAAGCTGTTCGCTAACTTTGCTGCTCACTGCTGAGCAGGAACAATATGATGGGGGTTTAGAGCTTGTACACTCTAAAACAACACGGTGAGGGCGGTGAGAGTGTACTGTAACATTAAAGTTGAGGGACCACCAAAACAACCCTCCAAAAAAAATGACGAGCTCACAAAGAGCTTACTACAAAGTTCTGGGACGAGGTGAATAATTCTCTGTAGGTCCATGTGACCCCTTAAACCCAGATCAAAAACTTTTTCATTCACAAGTGGCTTTAACAAAACAATTTTTTTTAGCATATTATCAT